CATCTCATCAATACGTCTTTGAATGGTATTGTCACTTAGTGGGAGAACTTTCAACACAGGCTCCGGGGCACGTTGCAGGACTGTGCTGACCACCTCTCTTATCGCAGGCAATATGAGATCCTCACCAATAGCATGGTGTTTGCCTGCCTTTGTAATTAGCTGAGACAAATTATATGTTGCTTGTAAGCCTTCATCAGCTTGATCGACGTTGGCTGCAAATATCGGTTTAACTGATTTTGATTTCTGAAAACTTATCTTTAGAGTTTTGAAGTATGCCAGATCTTTGTCAGATCTGTCGTGATGAATCTTCTTCATATGGGATTTGCGGGCTAGGAAAGAAAGTTCTTAGTTATAAATAGTATTGTAAACTATACTTAAGCTATCAATTTTTGTTTTTATTTTTTAATGTGTTTTTTTCCCCTTCATCATGTTTTATGTTGTATGTCATGAAAATTTCACACCGCCCCCTTCGCGCCCACCACCGCCCCCCAATCGCCCAATTTCGCCACAGCGCCCCCCAAACTCTCGCGCCCACTTTGAAAACCACTGGTCTGGTGGATAGGCTCTCAGACTCATAACCGAATGGTCATGGGTTCGAATCCCGACAGGGGCCCAATGTTATGTCCCAGGAAATGGCTCTTTATACGAATTTTCCTCACTTCACTCGGGTGGGAATGGAAATCCAGCTAAAGACACTCAGACAGTGAAAGATCTTGTCAGTTTGTTTATTGTTAGCGTTTCAGTGTGTGCAATCCACAGCTTGCACTGTATGACTGTATGCTTCTACGAGAAGCCGAGAACGTTTCTGACCCACGTGTTGTAGGATCTGCTGGTGTAACGCTGTCGAGCTTGGATTTATGTGGTCTATGTAAATGCAATCATTGTTTATGGAAGGATGTATCCCACTTTGACATAGCGTGAGTTCGCTTTCACTAACACAATAGAAGCAGCCCACTTCCTGAATGATCTAATTGTGTCCATACCATGTTGCAAACCATTTACTCACATGCACTACGTGACACGTCCTTATCTCCCCTTCTTCTTTTTTATGTTTGTTACTCTCTTGTAACACCTCTAATCTCCTGGCGCTCATATGACCTTAAGCAGTTGCAAGCGCCGTAAAACCTCTACTAAAACTAAAATTTAAAAAGTGAAGATGGTGGACGAAACGCGGGTAGGGTTGTGAGATATAGATACTTTCCCAACTACAATGGGCGCAACTCCCCTGCTGGTGGTGTGCTTCTCTTAGACAACAGTCTGTCGGTTTGAGGGACAGCTTTTTTTCTCCAAACTTGACATGATATCCTCTGTCCATCTCCCTTTAAAATGCATGTTACCAGTCTGTCAACTGAGGGTCCTGACTGGACAAAACATTGACCCCTGAAACATAGTGTGGGGTGGAAGTCAACTTGAGCCCTCCTTTCAGAGCTTACTTGACATGCAACGCACATCTGAGGTTTCCACTCTCTGTGGGGCCACATGTGGCTCATCTTGATGCCATGTGAGGAAGATGCTTTTTTAACGTATTTTAACAGGGGAGGGGTTGTGGCTCTAACTGTAATTGACCTCAGCCGAACACTTCTTTTGAAATGACTTTGTTGGGTGTCTTTATGGCATTGATGAACTCACTTGCTGCGCTTTGGCAAGCAGATGAATATTATTACAGTACAGTCGAAAATTCCCACCTCTTTACTAACCCCACAGCATTCAAAGTGATGCCATATTCAGACAGTACTCGAGTATGTACCTTTTTGACAGTAAGGTGCATTTGAGGTTTATTTCATAAATACATTATATACAAGTATCTTTGTGCTTGTTATGGATATATCTGTCATTATCCAGAATTCGAAAGGAACAGCACATAGAAAAAAAAAAGTCAGTATCCACAGTTGCATAGATCTTTTTGGCTGTCATTTGGAAAGTGGCCTTTATGATATCTTATATTATAGTTATACGAGGCTTTAAAAAAGACAAGTCTGTGTACAAGTACGAGACGTGCTTGACAAATGTCCTGGGATACATTTATAATTACAGAAAATTATCAACAGAAATTTTAATTTGGCAAATTCTAATTTACCTGAGGCAGCATTTCAGATAATCATTACTGTGAAATGTGAAGCGCAAAGAGACTTGATTCTGCTTGTATGGAGAGCCATAAGCTTCGCTGCAGCTGCAGTCTCTTTGGACAGCGGTGCACACAAACATTTTATAAATCTTGAATGCCTCACGTTTCTTTTTGTGTCTCTTTCTTTCATTCACTTTGCTTATCTTACAATGGCATTTAGATTTTCATTCATCCAAATACTAACTCTCTCATATTGTATTTATATTACATTTATACACTTTGTAACAAAAAGCTTCTCTTCTCGTCAGCCATCTTACTATGTACAAATTGTAATACATGAATGCATAGTGTTGTTAATGATAATAATACATGTAGAAAAAAAGTAATAATATTCAGTTATTTATCTGTGATGATGATGATGAAGGTAACAATGATATTATGGGGGCTCTCATGGTCTAGAAGTACGGTGTTCGCCTCTCATTCAAAAGGTGTCGGGTTTGAAAACTGGCAGCGAAGAAAAAAAATTGTTCCTTAAAACTTTCTCCTTTCACCTCCTTTTCTGTTCTCTAGTCATCATCCTTCATCTACTTTCATCTCCACTTTCTGCGCCGCCCCCCCCCCCCCCCCAACTGGGCTCCTCTCTCCTTTACTACTGACTTTTTCTGCTGCTGCTCTAGTCTCCTTCTCACTGCTGATGCTGTCTTTCAGTCAAATCCCTGTCCGTTGGGTAAGTAAGGTCCAACACCTTTGACTTAGCCACCTCGGAGAAGGGCTCAAAAATCTCCGAGACCTTTGTGTGTGCAAGTTGCGCACATCATCAAGATCCATTGGTGTTCCTAAAATCGATGAGTAGGATTCGGCCGGACAAAATAAAAAAAAAAAAAAAAAATCAATTACTACCAAAACGGAAAAATACTGTAGTCAGTATGAAATTATAAGATACCTTCGAAATCGAAATATGGCTGTCTGGAGACAACGAGCCGTACATTATTAAGTTATGTTGGAAAAATGGTCCCCCCCCCCCCCCACACACACACACACGTACGTAAAAATCAATTGCACTGCAGGTTGAAGAACCAGCTGTCGATTACCCTTGAGAACTAGCAGGACAGTTCAAAGGAGATAATATACACATGTAAAAAATAGAAAGCCAACTAACTAGGACTCAGGGGGAGAGGAAAAGGGTGGGGGGGGGGGGGTATTCCGACAAACACCATGAAGGGTGGAGCTTTTCCAAGCTCGTTCCAGATGAACGCCCAACTTCCACCGAAGGTAAAACTATGCCATTTTGCACGATGCTCTCCTTGTTTGACACCAGGGCATGGTTTGTAAAAAGTAAAATACAGTCAAACCTGTCAAATCTGTATGAGGCAATCACCTGTCCCCGCAGAATTATGCAAATTTAGATCGCCAAATTATGCAAAAATTATGCAAATTACCGTAATGCCATTCACGACATGTTTTGCACTTTTTCAACAAGAATTTTCATGTTTTCTGTACAGAAAAATTGAAAACAGAACATATCAGTATCAGTATTTTTTGTGTTTTTGGAAAGAAAACAATACCCATCAGTCAGAAAAAACCCCAAAATATGATCTCTTTTACTTTCAGCTGTAGATCTATAGAGGAAAGAGAAATGTAAAAAAAAAAAACGTCTTGATCTCTGATGCTCGCACATCACGAAATCCGGGGACACCTCAGACATGAGAACAACTTTTGATGGATTAAAAAAATCGAAGATGCTCAAGGAACAAAATCCCTGATTATCACCTACTAAGACGGCCACTTCACATTTTCTGCTTTGCGGTGTTTTTTTTGTTGTTGTTTTTTGGTGGGGGTCTTTTTTTTAAAAACATTATAATGACAATGTGTAAGACGTCCACCAGTCTAAGTCTAAAACAACCGCCTTTCTCCTCGACAATGGGCGCCCGTCTTAGACAATTTCGACTGTATCAGCTCCCTTTGTTTTTGCGCATCAAGTCAACCACAACTAGCTTTTTTCTATTGCTGCAAGACATATCTGCATCTACACAGTGACACCTCCCCCCCAACCCCCCCCCCCCCCCCCCACACACAAACACCCACAATGACCGTGGATGTATTGTAATGTGAGCAATGACGGGTTATATTTTACTTTTACCGGGTTTATCATGTCTGTCCCTGCGGTTTTATGTAAAAACATTTATGAAATTATGCAAACAGAGCCCAAAAAATGCGAAATTATGCGATTCTGTTAATTTTTAACAAAGAATGATAACGGAAAATAATCAGAAATAATGCAAAAAAAGGATCAAATATTGCTAAATTATGCGGGGTACATAAAACCACGGGGACAATCAAGTAGGGTTCCCCTCCTCTGTGACAAAGATCCGTACATGTCATGTGGTACACGACAGCTCACACTGAGAAAACGGGTACATGTAATATCTTTGGACGTTGGTTCAGTCCGAGGCATAGATCCAGCTTCTCAGTTGATAGTGCTGTCCATAATTGAAAGGTCCTTGTCACTCTTTTTCCTGAGGGACACGTATAGTATAGAAAATACAATCTTGTCAACAATTTTTATTTTTCCTATATAGCATAATAGAAAAAAATACTTGTTTTTACGCCCCGTCGACACAATTAGATAATTTGGCGTCGGTGGCCTAGTGATTAGGCTCTCGGACTCGCAACCGTAAGGTCGTGGGTTCGAATCCCGTCAGGGGCCCGACGTTGTGTCCTTGGGAAAGGCACTTTGCACAAATTTTCCTCACTTCACCCAGGTGGAAATGGGTACCCGGCTATAGACAGTGAAAGGTCTTGTCAGTTTGATAGTGTTTGAGCGCGTGAAATCCGCAGCTTGCACTGTATGCTTCCTCCGAAGCTGAGAATGTTTCTGAGTGTTCTCAGAGGGTCTGCTGGGGTAATAATAGTTGTAAAGCGCATAGAGCATGCTCTTGAGCATGGATATGCGCTATATAAATGCAGTTATTATTATTATTAATTTAGGAGGCGCGGGGCTTCCAACCCTGCCAGTTAGACTAGTTAGAGCGAACCAAGGCTGAGAGGGATACAACAACCCACTAAAAAGACCGAGATACTAGATTTTAAAAATTTCTCAACTGGGGAATCGATATCAGGTCCCCTGCGTGTGACAGCGAAGAGCCTTACCGCTGCACCACACACGTCGGTAACAATAAGTAAATGAGGCATCGTGGTGAAATCAGGTGCTCGTCAAAATAATGAAATCAAAGAAATTGGCATTTTTATGACCGTTGGGCAATTTTCGTTTCTAATTTTCTTCTTTTTTTTTTTTTTTTGCTCAACACCTTTTATATCCATTTTAAAACACATTTCTGTGTTGATTTGACTTACAAACATTGACAAAGGCACAAAAATTCCGTCAATTTTCAGATTTCCAAGGACTCTCAAGCTATTTAAATTACCAAACTTTGGCGGCCATTTTTTCGCTAATTTCACCTCTGAAACCAGGCGACCCTGACCTCCTTCAATTGCAAATATTTTGGCTTCTATTCAACATAGACGGATATTTTATCACCAAGAGCAAGGCAAACGAATATGTTTTGAGATTGTATCAATAACTCCATGTGCCGAAACATTGACGAGCGCCTGATTCCACCTCGTCACGACACTTTATTTTTCCTTGAGATAATTAGAAGAAGTGTTGGCCAAAACCCATAATAACTGTCTCCAAGAATCAGCCATGCCATTCATAAACTAGGGGAACTTCTTTAAGTATTTATCTTATAAAACCATAGAGAAGCTGCAATAAAACGACAACAACAACAAATGACTGCAACAGAGGCATAGCCAATACCCCTCCCCCCCACCCCACCGTAGGCCTATCCCCCAAATAAACAGATCAATGCGTAAAGTGTAGAATGGAGTAAATACAATAACGCGTGAAAACTAAGCCAGAAAAAATGCCAATTGCCTTTTTATAAAATTGTTTATGCCTCTTTTATAAACCTGGTAAACTTCAAGTTTTATCCGTCGTTGCTGGAAATCTGAAGATTGTTGGCCTTCTTCTATCATTTACTTAATATAGAAAGCATCTATTTGAAGGGCTGCGAGAAAAACAAAACTCAGGACCGACGCTGATTCGAAATCTTAAACTTCTTCAAGCTAGTCAATTAAATCCTCAATGAACTGCGCAGTGAGACAAGGGTGTGTGTTATCACCGCTACTATTCATAATATTCAGGGACAAAATTACAAAAGAAGTAGACCCCAACTCGATAGACCTGAGTGAGAAGCTATTTACGGACGATCAAAGCCTTGCATATGAGAAAGAAGAACAACTTCAAGGGCACACAGACAGGCGGAATACACAATGTGAAAAGCTCAACATGAAGATCAGTAAAAGCAAAACGGAGAAGATGAGAATTAGCAGAACATCTGGCAACCTTAACATCAGCATTGACGGAAATCCGCTGAAACAAGTCAGCGAGTTCAAGTATCTCGGTAGTACAAGTATCTTTTCGGAAGACGGACGTCTCAACTGAGAAGTTGAGATGAGAGTACAAAAGGCTAACAGCGTCAACTACCAGCTTGCATCACTCCTCAAACATCCCAACATCCCCACTGAGACCAAAGCCAAACTCATTAACTCTATCTTCATCCCCACCTTGACCCACCAGTGCCAGACAAAGACATGGATCATGATCAAAAGTCTGGAACGTGGGATAACCACCTGCGAGATTAGATGTCTAAGTACAGCCGTCAGCAAAGCCAGACAGGACATGGCCAGAAACAACAAGATTAGAGAAATGATAGGAACAACACCTGTCCTCCACTTCATTCGAAGGCAAACAATCAGATGGACATCTCACACTTATGGCACCTCACCAGCTTCCCAGTAAAGCATGCTACAGAAAAGTATCAGGGTACAAGGCAAGAAGAAGATTAAAAAAGACCCGGATACAGAGTGTGAAGGATACCCTGAGAACCTACAATATCCCACCCAGCCAGGCCATCAAACTTGCCCGAGACATGGAGCTCTTTCACCCCTCTCTAGAGGTCCAAGAGGATCTCAGTTTTGGAAAAAAACAACAATACAATTTTAATTGAACACCATTTTTTACGAATGTTTATGGAAAAGATTTCAAAGTTGCAATCTACAATTTTAAAACAAATGGGGAGTCCTTATTTTTGCTTTAAACGGCTGTTACAGCTGCTGCTGATCGTCATGTTGTCCGACGTAAATATGTATAAAAAATACACTCTTTTGGCTGAAAACAACCTGTATGGACGATGCATGTTCTCACGAAATCGAAAACACGGCGACAGTTGATTCATTTTAGCGGACCTACTTTAAGGCAAAATAATAATATTGGTTCTTTCTAGCATCTGCGTTTGTTGCCATCTTTTTTGTTCAAAAGTTGCCAAAAGTTGCCACAAAAATGGCAAAAGTTGCCAAAAAAGTTGCCATTAATTTTCAAGCTTTCAACTCTCTGTGACGACGTATAGCAATATGTTGATAGAGAAAACTTATCTAAAACACCAGACATTTTTATGCTCTGTTTTCAGCATCCAGAATATCATTTGTAGCCACACAAAGTGTAAAAACTTGAAAAATAAAGGTTTCACAATAGAATGAAATCAAAATTAAAACAGCAAAATTTAACAAATAAGGGCGTGTGTCAACCCATCCATAGACTGGCCGTTTTAACCCTAAAGGCGTGTAATTCAAGAAAAAAGTACAGGATCTGACATTTAGACCATGGAATCCCACACAAGGGGGCCTGCCACTTGCCAGTGTCAGTATTCGGTTTTGGTAGAGACACGCTCTAACATAACACTTTGAAGAAAAAAAGGTAGGAAGAACATTACGCTATAGGCCTATAAATGAGAATTTAAGCCAGTTATCTAACAATCTCCATGTTGGGTCTTGTTCTTACCGTTTCATTGCTTCCGCTTCCTCAATTGTTCCCGGAAGTCTCTTGCCCTTCGTCTCTGGCAGGAGCAAGGAGAGAAATCCGGCAATGACAGCCGATCCTCCAAATATCAGAAGGGGTAAAACTTTGCCAAGCTTGCCTCCGATAATGAAGTTCTGAAGCAGACACAATACCAAGGAAATTACAGCATAATGAAAGTAAGGGATTGTTCGATTAGTTATAGCAGATCGGTATTGAAGTTTTTTTTTCTACTTTCCAGTAGTTACACGCCAGATTGGAGTTTTAAAGTTAAAGGTAATACATGTATCCCATACTTTGTGCACACATGCACATGTTCGACTAAGATCTACACGTGAGCAAAAATTATACGGAGGTTTGCTTGCACAATTTTCGACTTTGACATTATACACTGAGTTTAAAATTTTAAAATTCCATCTGTAATATGCTTTAGTTAGAAATGGGACCCGTGAACTTAGGACGTTTTTAAGTCGGTCCGGGGGTGTTTTATTGATGAGCTGATCCGCAAACCTAGGGCTCAGCTGCCTCTCTGGTTGGATGGCAGTAATACTCTGTAATCTCTTGTCAAGGGATGGCATCTTTATTTCTAATGTTGACAACGGCACCTATCTCTCATACGTTTAAGAAATTGGACTTATTTTTCCCAAAAATGATCTAATTCAATACTATGCAAACCCCCCCCCCCCCCTGCCCCCTCAATTTGAACACAAAGATATTAACTGAAATACAAGGTTTTTAAAAAAAAATTATGAATCCTAGAATCTATAAAAGGTGCCTTAATCACCTTGGCTTGCGATATCCCTCTGCTATGCCGATCACCCGATGGAGGGTTCAATTACTGATTGATTTGATAAGAAAGAAGACAAAAATAGATCAACGAGTCCTCCTGTGTGGAGCCCCCTTCAGGCATGACCAATTTCAGTCCAGTGAGGCGTTACTCTTTTACACACACACACACACACACACACACACACACACACACACACACACACACACACACACACAAACACAAACAACCATACACACATACACACACATACGCACACACATATATATATATAATTCTAAGTTAACACCATGCTTTCCCGACATTACATTTCGAACGGGCCAACTTACGAAGTTCGCAATGAAAGGGGAGATAATCGAGCCGATCCTGCCCATGAAGGAGCAGCCTCCCAGGCCGGAGTTCCTGACGACAGTGGGCAGCACCTCCACGGTGAACACGTACACCACGGCGAAGCAGACGGTCACACCAAACTTGCCCACGTTGGAGAGCACCACGTTTACCCACACCACGTCTGAGGACAGGTGCGGTTTCTAAAATATTATTATATTTTGGGTTATGTGTACAATTGGTCACTTTTAAGGACAAGCAGGATAACCCAGATTTCAAGGGTTTCCAAAAATCTTGACCTACACCAAAAGTGGGCATTGCCCTACCTATAGGAGAAGTTTGGTTTCATTTGTTTGGTTATAGAAAAAACTCCCCTTGTCTTTTATAGAGACTGAACAAGGGTCCAAAAACTTTGCCTTCGATTTTCTCAAAACAGCATTTTTCTGAATAGCCCCCTTGCGCTTAAAAACGACTAATTAAGGCTGTGCATAAAAAACAAACAAACAGAAAAAACAAAACAACCCCCCTCCCTCTCAACCAAAGCAAAACAAAGCAAAGCAAACCAAAACACCCCCACCCCCAACAAACTAACAAAAATAAACAAACTAACAAAAACAAATTAACAAAAAAATAACAACACACGCACACAAAACAACAAAACAAAACACATATAAAACCAATTAAATGTCGTGAGTTTCCCAGTTACGTTTATCTCTTCTCTAGTAAGAAAATCAAATGAATGGCAAATCTTCCTCACCTGTGCCTATGAGGAAAGGGACTGCTGTTGCCAAGCATGCACACCCGCTGAGCAGCAGACAGCTGCAGTAGAGCAACTTCCGGCCGGCCCAGTCTAGTGCAACAATGCATAGTATGTAGGCTGCCAGTTCCATGCAAGTTACAATGAGAAAGTTCATGAAGAGGTCTCCTTCGATGATAGCTCCTACGTTGAGGGTCAGTCCATAGTATACCATGGAGCATACAGCCCTGTAGTGGTGAAGATTACCACACCACAATACAGCATGTATTTATGATTTATATAAATTTTGATGTGAAGAAATTACGCCAAAAAAGTACATGAAAAAATGTTTTTCAAAACACCAATACCACTCCCTTCCCCCTCAAACAAACAAAACAAAACAAAAGCAGAAAAAACAGTATAAAAAATGAGAAAATGACAACAGCTACTCTTCTTCAGAGTAGCCTTTAGGAGAGATGTATCCATTTCATATTGCAGAGCCACCCCCCCCCCCCCCCCCCAACAACACACACACGCATCCGGCAGAAGATATTCGGAGACGTCTCCGGCGAGCACCCAGGAACTATTCAGAGACGCACTCAGGCACACAGATGCACTGCTTTGGGGGGTCAGACTGCGTACCGTTTGCTGCTGATCACACGTAGCCACTAAAACTGTCGCAAATCAATTATTTTCAAGAAAATTTCAAACCTAACAGCAAAATATCAAATTATGGGTTAAACCCCTTAGATTTTTTTTTTACTTGGTCTAGAGGCACAAAGCAGTTTGACTGGTCTATCTCCGTCGGAGACGTCTCCGAATAGATACTGCGCACGCACCCACTTACCAGTTTAAGCACAATATGAGGAGTCGCATGACCATGACTCGGGACTTGAAGATACGTCGCACATTGCTGCTCCCGGCTTGGCTCAAGTCTGTGGTCTCAGCCTCCGAAGCCACGCTGTGTTCACAAAGAGACGAAATCTGCTCCTTGTCCAGAGAACTTGCAGCACCGTTCGCGACCGCCATATTGAATATGATCTTTCCAGCTTCCTCAACACGTCCTTTACTTAGAAGCCATCTTGGGGATTCTGGGATGAGCCTGGGAGGGAATGAGGAGCGCATGTGATGATCATGCATCTTACAGTAAGTTTTTTGTTGTATTTTATTAGCTGCACCTAAACAATTTCATATACTTTACTATTTTTTCTAGGCCTACTCTGTTACAAAACCAAAATAAACCAAACCAAACCTTTAAAAAACCAAACACCCCCCCCCCTAAAAAAAACAACTCTCAACAACAAACAAACAAACAGACAAAAAAAAAAATAGCAACAAGAGCAAACCCAGAACGAAAACAAAATAAAAAAGGGATATGTCCCCATCTGACCAATTTTCCTCCCTCTGAAATTACCAGCTGATTAATGTCTTTATAGCGTTTTAAGTCGTTCAGTGTAGAATGGGCTCTCTAGTGAAAGTTTTGAGTAAACTGTTTTACTATTCGCTTTGAACCTGTTTCCTTTGTGACTTGCACAGCCCAGTCGTCTTCTGAGTTAGATCCGTCCAAGCTTATATAACTGGTTACTGTATTCTAGTAATTGTTCAAATATGCACCCAGGACAGCAATAAAATTATGGCCAAACCAAGTATAAAATATTCATTTATATGGAGACAGTTATTCCGGACCCCTGATAATCCAAGACACAAAAAAGCACCTGTGACTTTAAATGTTTAACACAATATTATGTCAACTATCCGAATGTTACATGAATACAAAACAGACATTAATAAGAACAAAGGTTCACTTGATGCATCATTTCATTTCAATTAACAGTTAAAGAATCCCTTTCCCTGATCTGGAATACGTCCAGAAAGACATTTTCTTGTTTGGAAACTTGCAATAAATGTAGACCGAAATCTCGAAACGAGGAGGTTATGCAGGACTAGATTTTAAAACAACATCTTTCTGAAACTCTATAAATTGCATGCTTTAACTCAAGCCTTCTTCTGCTTTGAAAGTTTTAAGACATTGACAGCATAAACGGCCCGTAAATTCTATATTTATTGATGAAATCAAAACTTAAATGCTTATTTATGGCAACTTAAAAGTCGAATAAGATGAGCCGTTACAACTTACCAGTAGTAGGACAGAAATAGAATAGTTGGGGAGGACATTATGAGTTGCAAAGTCCACCAGTCTCGGACAAAGTAAGCCATCAGCGTGATGAGGAACATGCCAATGACCCATCCCACCATTGTCAACATCCCAGCCATAGCTCTTTTTGCAGGCCCTAAGAGCTCCATGCCTGAGGTATAAGAATAGCGTGTATGATGGTAAGGGTGAACGAGGGTGCGCGTTGTGTCCTTTTGCGCACGCGTTATGTGTGTGTGTGTGTGTGTGTGTGTGTGTGTGTGTGTGTGTGTGTGTGTGTGTGTGTGTGTGTGTGTGTGTGTGTGTGTGTGCCCGCGTGCGAGTGGGCGCCAATGCGTGTGTGTCTAGGCTGAAACATAAATCTTTAAAATTTAATGTTTCCTTTGAATGCTGTATCCGAAAAACGCACCCGTGCTTACACATAATGCATATTTAATAATAAAAGGAGGTTGCACATTTTAAACCATGAGTTTTAAACACATTTCTAAAAAGTTCACATTGTAAATAAAAAATGTGTCAAAAATAATGACGGGCTCACCATCAAATAGGCCCAACGTAAATTATTCACTTACACCATGTAAATCCAATCATGAAGAAGGCGAATCCAACAGCGCATTCTAGGAACCTCAAAATGAGCAGATGAACAACGGAAGTGACAAGAGCCAGGCAGAAGCCTCCAATGGCATGTAGGAAGATGAAAACCAACATGGCCGCTTTGCGTCCGAACCTGTCGAGTTTAATTTCATGTAATTACTTGCTATTTCCGTGATAGAAATGTGAAATCTGATTCCACTGCTATAAATCTTGTCTAAACATAGACTGTTTCATCTTTCAAAGCCAGGTTTAAAAAAGATATAGTACGAAAACTACGTGCAATTAGGTGAGCTTGAGTCCTCATTTATTTATCTTTGCCAGTTCTGGATACAGGACGAAAACAAGGTTTCTGACATGGACAATTAAAATTCGATCCTTAAACGAGCTTAGAATGTCATGTTGTAGGGACCAGATTTCGATTGATTAAAAGATTTTGAAAATCAACGATTTTTTCCCGATACCATGAACAGGTACTTTATGAAATGACTGGCATCAATGGGAATATAAAATACACCCATTGAAAACTCTGTCCTTTGACATCAAAATTTACGCGAAATGCGAAAGTGATACACGAAGCTCGTTTTTTTTTTGGTCATAGACCAAGGTGCAAAAGTGGCTATCTATTTCGACCCAACCCCCACCGGGGACCACCACATTTAGGGGAAAGCTTTGCAGAACGTCTACATGGTATTCCATTTCAACGAATCCTCTACGATTTTGCTCCCACTCTCCTACGGGATATGTGAAAGCGGTCTATATCTACGTTGCACATTTTGATGTCCTCCATTATCAATTATTATACACTCTGCTACAAGGTGCTTATACCAACTTTGATTGAGCCCCCCCCCCCCCAACCCATTTCTGTGTGAGTTTAAGTTAAGTTTAAAGTTCGGACAGACACAAAGAGGCCATCTCGAAGAAGTAGTTGACTTAATGAGGTAGGAGGGGGGGGGGGGGGCTGTTGTTTGGCTTGTGTGAATCCTTGATTGACAGACCACTGAGAAACACCAAAGATTTGATAGGAACAGAAAAAAAGACATCACACCCAGACCAAACTGTCACGATGTATGAATGGTTCCCCGTATACGGGAGAGTTGTGTCTCCTATCCCCACCCCACCCCATCCCACCATCCGCCCCCTGTTGATCGGACGCTCGGTGCTTATGGATCCGAAGCATATTTCCTTCTTTAATTAAAAGAGAAACTCCACAAATACTTTTTTTTGTAGAAAAGACACAAACGACTCAGGTTCAAGAATGTCTGACATGGGGATTCGAATCAGGGTCATCTGCATCATGAACTAGTATAATACCAACTGAGCTGACGAAGCCCCCCGAAATGACACTAATTGTACCCATAATATTATATTATGTGTAATAGGTTTTCAACCCTTAATACCGTAACAAAAAGCGTAGACAACAACATGTTTTTACTGCCCGAGAAAATGGAATGTCTGACCTGTCCCCCATCAGACCACCGACCACAGAACCAAACATCAAGCCAGCCATGCCCAGCATGTTCACGTGAGTACTCAGGATCTGCCGACCGCACACCAGGTTCAGCTGGAGAAAACACAAGCACAACTTTTCATTGATTTTTTTGTTCCACTCAGCTCCCGACTAGAGGAGATTAAAATCATTTTGATAACGATTAATTACACAATGGAATTTTGGGAGTTTTTTTTCCCTTCTGTAAAAAGTAGTTTCAGTCACGAGTCTGAACAAAGAGCTGGATAGAAGGCATTGTAAGTACAGTGAAAAACACCATCCTTTCAAAGAATACAATTTAATTGTGATGCACACGTGGGACATAGCCAGCGGGAGAGATGAACCCTCTTGTTGCTATAAGAGTGGGCTCTTTTTTATCACATTCCTTCCCCCATTACCACCAGACAGCTCCGTGTTCCACCAGGAGTGTCATCACCCCAAAGAAGAAATATTTAGTACATACTAGAGTTCTTGGCAATGATGTCTCCCACGTAAACGAACGGGAGCTGCGTGTGCCCACTCTGAGATGCTGAACCCCAAGGGCGAGACATGTCTCGGCGGTCTACTAGTAAGGCTCCTTTGTCTGACACGTGTAATGTCACTTCTGTGAGCTCTAGTATTATATAACCTCTTTGCATCACACTCAGTTAATACCGACACTCCATTCCCCTACCGCCCACTTGCACAGGTGGCTGCGAACTTGGCTTACAGGTGGAAATGAGAGATCAGAATCTGAGTAAAAGTATGCAGATTACTTTCGAACTTTTAAAATATTTTTCTTTGTTTTTTATAATAATAATTATTACAATAATAGTTATTTCGCCTCCGAAATGACGCATTACGATTCTGGATTATAAGCAAGTCTGAAACCCCATAAGGAGCGACTGGGAAGAGGGACAGAGACCTTGGATGTACTCACTATAGGTAAAGTTGCACCCCAGCTAGGATACACAGCTTTGATTTACCCCCGAAAAACCCAAAATATTGAAGTGAGGTATTTATATCTCATTTCCGTCTTTCGTACTTTCATTATTTCCCACGGGTTAATTTATTGTGCATTAGGCTACAAACTGAATCTACAAAGTAGAAGTTTGATGTTCAAACCAGAATGGGGTCTGCATTCTTTTTCTTGTCCTTATTGGAGCCACCCCCTCCCTTTTTGAGTCTTTCTGAGATCCAGGTGTCCCACCGTAATTTTTTTGGTTCGTTTTTTTTTTTGCTGTTGTTTCCCTTGTTTTATTTTGGTTGTCATTCTCATCTGGCTCACCGACCTGGGTCACATACGTTGAGGTGAAGATTTCTTGGCTGTAAACCCATGAGGTACACTCGGTCACCAGTCTGTCGTTCCCGGTGGCTGAAGGGGGAGAACTGACTCCAGACACATTCCAGGCCGCATAGACGTCACACTCGGCGTACTTACCCTCCCTTTCGTTGAATGGAATAGATTCGTTGATCAGTCTCTGGTGGAACTCGTTCTGAATCTCATACGTGTCATTTTCCAGTCCGGGGACAGCACACCTGGGAGTGCGACAATAATCTAGGTCACTTTACCCTCTAGGTCATTTCACTTCTTCTTCTTCTTCTTCTTCTTCTTCTTCTTCTTCTTCTTCTTCTTCTTCTTTTTCTTCTTTTTCTTCTTCTTCAAGTGTCTGATCTAAAACAGTCATCGGCAATTACGGTTCGCCAATCATTAACTTCTCTGCGTGGATGCTCTCAGAAAATCTAAATCATCCTGATCTTTTCCTGTCATCCAACTGTTCAAGTTCTAAAAGTAAGTTAATTATGCTTGAACTGTACAAAATTTTGTTCGACCTGCTGCAAAGGAGCAGAAAATTGATGTGAGATATCAATTTATGGGGAGCAAAAAAAAAAATTCTAGATGAGCTTGTGGATGCATAACTTTTGGTATTTTATTTAATGAAGTTATGAACAAATGAAAAGGAATGCAGTTAAATGAAGAAAAGATAATAAATCAATTCAGCCAGAATGAATAAAAGCGTAAACAAATCCACAACTGGGAAGATAATTAAACATGTACCTGGTTGAATGGTTGAATGAATGGATAAATGAAAGCATTAAAGGGTGATTTTTCCTTACACCGTTGTACCGGAGACATCCGATCTCCGGTTGTACTACGCAGCGTAAGATTATCTTTCACACTATACAAAGAGATGATCGCAGCATAAAAAGACACCACCCCAAAAACAACAACAACAACAAAACAACAACAACAACAACAAAAAACAAGAACAAACAAACAAACAAACAAACAAACAAACAACAACAACCACAAAACCAGCAGATAATTTATCCAAATTAAAAAAAAGGATGAAGGCAGGTTTGGGTTCTAAGCGATAGAGACACCCGCTACTTCTAAAAAAAACTTATTGCAGAGGAAGCAACTCTGCCATCCAAAGGTCGAGCAACGTTACTGCACATTTTCTGATTTTTAGAAAAATGCCAACAACTTTTGACGCTTAGCCTGAGTAAAGTTATGAATGCTTCTAAACATGGCTGTGCTTGGAAGATAATTCGTCACTTTGCTATCGAAATTAGATTGAGACCAGTCACTTGTGTAGCTTTTCCATTTTGAAAGCTACAGTGGATGGATGTAGATACGTCCTTCTGCCTTTAATACAAGAAAAATATGGGCAATAGTATAGCAAGCAAACCAACACGACCCCCCCCCCACCTTCAATCTTCTCAGATACATCACAAGCCTAGGCTTTGAGAGGGCAGAATAATTGTTTTGGTTCAGTGACGTCGAACAGATGGGAAATCAAATTTCGAATCCCAGATCCGGTTGGTTTATTAAATTTGCCTAGACTTTACTTGACCTTCTTTTTCTTCCTAGTCTAGAGTCCCAGGGCAAGACGAAACATTCCACCTCTGACATTTAAGTAATTACTTAAGCTAAGCCGACAGCCATAGGGCCCACTGAGGACCAACTGTATCAGGCGCACAGAGGAAAAACCCAGAGAAATTATGAAACAGGATGCTATCAAAGAGGCTCTTCCTTTTTTCTTACCATGAAACCCAAACAATGATTTATTGTTTTTTTTTTTCAAGTACAGGAAACAGTTAGTGTTCACTGTAATCTTTCTCACTTTCTGTCCATCTCATTTCGTCGTTCCAAAGGCAGCCCAGTTTTGCCCGACTTGTAAATGTTAACTTTAAACACTTTACGGTCACTTGCTGCAATAATGCAACGGTGAAAAATGATCCGGTCATTTGACGTAGTTCTGCGACATGCCCGAAAAGTCTGTTGCAGTCACTCTCCTGGCTGGGTGACCAATTGGGGTATTTTGTACTGTTGGCTGTGAGACTGCAAAAGTGTCACAACACAGTGAAATCGGGCGCTCTTCCGTTTATGGGCATATGGGGTTATCGGTATCATCTTGAAGCTTCTTCATTTGTCTTACATTAAAGGTTAATGAAAAAATGCCCACCTTGAATAGAAGACGAGACATTTTCAATCGAAGGATGTAGGGGTTGCCGAAATTGCAAATTTAGCTTTTTTGTGTGCCATTGACCAACATAAGCAGTGGCGGTGGGTAGTGAAGGGCTCACGGGCTTGAGCCCCCCTCCCCACCCCCCAACTCTATCCCAAAGCAAATGAAAATAATGAAAAAAGCAGTTGAAACCGTTATGACTGCACGCAATGAACACAGAGTGATCAACTTGACGGCTTGCTGGTTTATCCAATCACTGTTGCCAACGCTTACAACTATAGTATCCTAACAACCAATCAAATGTCTTTAGGGCTCAGCAAAGATGAGCCGGTTCCCACCGTCCCTCGTAAATGAAACTTTTGTTGTAAAAAAGGTAGGAGACTTGAAAAAAATAACACTGCTCAGCGGGCTCACGCTGTCCTAGCCCTGACAATGGGGTGAAAGTTTACGACACACTTTCCCCCAGTGACACAGTTACCTACGCTCCCATTGGCCCTTTGTTAGGCGCTGTCTACTTTCCTCGACTACACGGCCTAATCCAGCTCGTGGAGTGCTGTGTATGCATGTTTGTGTGTGTGCTGCTGAGATTTAACGGTTATTAATTACATCAAACCACTTTTGAGGCAACTTTTTCATCAGATGAAAATTAATTAGAGAAGTTTGGAGGTGAAGTGGTTTCGTCCCCAGCATCCAGAAGAATTAAAGGTGACTTTTCTCGTTTGAATGGTTCTCAAAATGCCTTGGCTCGCCGTGAGTATGGAAAAATCACCACTGTTTTGTTCTTATTGCTTGCTATTTGATGGTAAAGAAGTGAAAGCAACCTAAGCCCCACCCAAACTTTGGTCCACCCACCGCCACTGAACATAAGTATATGCATTTTTTAACGACTTAAAACATGTTAAACAAAAAAAACACACACACACAAAAACAGAGCAAAAACAAAAGCAAACAAACAGACAAAAACTCTCATACATACAAACACACAAAGCAACAACAACAATCCTCAATTATTAATCTCGGTTTCCTCGATTTCATTATTTTGACAAGCGCCTGCATTCCCCCAAGATGCCACAAACATGCAGCTGAAAAAGCAAATACGATAGAAAAGACGGTAGTATTTAAACGTGGTAGCCTACCTGAAATCTGTGCTGGCCATCGTGAAGACGGTGAGAAGTACCTGAATGCCGTGCGGACAGCACAGGAGGGTGACCAGGAACAGTGACCGCTTCTGGTATCGTCCAAATTCCCCGACCAGTTCTAACACTGTGTCGTACGACATGCTGATTCAGAAATTTAAAAAAAAATCTTATTATTAGACAGCAGCATAAGCAGCAGTAGCAGTAGCACTAGCAGCAGAAACAACAACAACAACAACAACAGCAGCAACAACAACAACAACAACAGTAATAATAATAATGATAATAATAATAATAATAATAATAATAATAATAATAATAATAATAATAATAATAATAATAATAATAATAATAATAATGATAAAGATAATAATAATAATAATAATAATAATAATTGCATTTATATAGCGCATATCCATGCTCAAGAGCTTGCTCTATGCGCTTTACAACTATTATTACCCCAGCAGACCCTCTGAGAAGACTCAGAAACATTCTCAGCTTCCGCGGAAGCATACAGTGCAAGCTGCGGATTTCACGCGCTCAAACACTATCAAACTGACAAGATCTTTCACTGTCTATAGCTGGGTACCCATTTCCACCTGGGTGAAGTGAGGAAAATTTGTGCAAAGTGCCTTTCCCAAGGACACAACGTCGGGCCCCTGACGGGATTCGAACCCCCGACCTTACGGTTGCGAGTCCGAGAGCCTAACCACTAGGCCACCGACGCCACAATGATGATGATGATGATGATGATGATGATGATGATGATGGTGATAATATGTCCGTCAATGTCTGACGATGACCAATGCACCTCGAGAGGAGACTCTCTTTTAAGCGAAATAAAAAAAAAGGTTTCAGATGAATTCTGACGGAGAATGTTTACCTAATTTTGAGCATTTAAAAGCTTCATTTGCGGATGTATGCAGCTTGCAGGCTTCTCTCTAGGCTTCAGCATATTATTATTTGCTATTTGCGAAGCACCGTATATATACTGATTTGCTGCCCATTGCAATTGCTGCTCTCCAACAAGGCCAACCAGGAAATAGGCCCTTCCATACCAAGAAATCATGTTGAAGTCTTTCCGAAATCTTTTCAGGGATTCTTTGTAGAGCTCTTTTGGTGCGCCAACGTTACGCTTTCCCATAGATAGCTCAGAATAGAATACTGCCTTTGTGGTTCTGAAATCAGACGATCTCATGACATGACGAGCCCAGCAAAATTGAGTCCTATTCAGCTTAGAAAACGGATCTGATATTCTGTCCTGCTATTTTGATGATAAGCATTCCTCTGAAACTTTTCATGCGGAAATAATTGAGATTCTTGGCATGGCTTTGGTACACTGTCAAGGTCTCATCATCGTACAACAGGTATGGGAGGACAAACAGCATTGTTGATTTTTCACTTAGTTTCTGTGTGAATGTCACAACAGTACCAGACCCTTGATGTGGGTCTTCCAAAGGATGCACTGGCTTTATTCAAACGCAAAGCTATTCCTACATTGATGCAGGCATTTGGAGAACCATGTACTGCCAAGATATTTGAAGTTGTATTGAACCAACATTTCTTGTGTGTTTTGTCCTGTTTTTATTTCAGGCGGGAGGGCATGTATACCACCAGGGATAGGCTGGAAGAGAACATTTGTCTTTGCTATGCCTACTGTGACTCCAAAGTTCTCACATTTATTTGAAAAAAAAAACCAATAACGTTTTGTAAGCTGGATTCTTCATGAACAACAAAATACACAATCATCTGCAAACACCAGTTCGCAGACACGGGTCAGGCCCGTTTTTTTCATTTGCCTACAGCCTACGGGGACTGAAGACTTCGCCGCCCAGTCTGTACCTGATCATCAACGCCAGGAGGGGAAATCTACATTGTCTCATGCAGCATCGCTGAGAAAATAATACTGAAAAGTGTTGGTGCCAGCACACAGCCCTGCTTCCCACTTTTTATCACACAAAAGGCTGCACATAATGACACCATTGCTCACGGTACTGGCTTTAATGGTGTCTTGAAATTGGCGAACAATGATAATGCACTTTTGCGGGCGATCGTATTTCAACGGAATTTTTAACAAGCCTTCCTGACCAACGCTATCAAAGGTCTTTGTGAGATCAACAACGGTCATGTATAAAGCTTCATTCTTCACTATGTGTTTTTCCTGGATTTATCATGCTGACTTTCAGGCAGGGCATCATTTGAAGAGAGGAGTTTAAACAAACAGTTTAGAAGAATTCTGGCCAGGATCTTACCAGCTATAGACAAGAGAGATTTATGCCTCTGTGATTGTCATAAGATCCTTTGTTTTTGTACCACTGAGTAATGATTGCACTTATGTATTATGGAGGAATACTTCCAGATTTACACATTTGATAAATAAATAGTTCTTTCAGTGCCTCGACAAGAAGATCTCTACCTAAAGTAAAGACTTCTGCTGGAACGGAGTCATCACCAGGGGCTTATTGAAGGAAAGAGCATTTATAGCACTTCTGTTTTTTTTTACTTGTTGTGGGAAGAACGAGTGATGTATTTAATGGGATCTACGGGAGGGGTCCGATTGATTCAGAATCGATACTTGATTGTCGCTTTAGCCCACTCTTTAAAATATTTAGCCCAAAGGCTCAGTATCGCATTCCTATCTGTGATACGCTTGGAATTATCTTGGTCAAGAACGGGTAAAGTATCCAAACGAAAGGGACCACCGATGTCGCATAGATTCTCAAAGAATTCATGAGTGTTTTTTGCATCTGCTCACTGCTGGGCCTCTTTAACCCTACCCTCAAGCCAGTTATTTTGCATTTTCTTCTGAAAGTTTGGATTTATAGATGAGGACTGCATCAGCGTTCTCAATTCTTAGATGAGATCCTTAATCTCCTTGTTATTTTCATCGCACCAGTTCTAGAGTTTTAGACGCTGCTGTATAAATTGTGTCTTTGAGTAAAGCTCCGTTACTTTCAACGTCATTGGGAGTGAATGCGATCATGCTCGATGTGGCTTTCATGTCTGTTTCAAGCAAGGGCTGTTTTTAAAGTTGCATATCTTATAGCTTGTTTATGTCAAGTCATCTGGGGAATGGTTTCCCCTGTGGACGCCCTTTTCTAACTGTCTTAAATCTTACGCTAACTCTCATCACAATCAGTCTGTGGTCAGTTCCACATTTTGCACCGCACATCGCATGGGTGACTCTGGTGTCACTCAGTTTTTACATTTCACGATCATGTTATTTGTCGATGAGACACTAGTGCCTTGAATGGAGAGGCATCCATGATGATTTATATCTTACTGGCCGGTGGAAGTTTGTGTAAGTGAATGAACAGACCATGTTCTGCCCATGTTTGAAATAGATGAAGACCATTGTTGTTTCACGAGCCCACACCTTGTTTACCGGTGACACCGGCTCAGGTCCGAGAGTCCAAACTTACTTTGGTACTGAAATCCAACCATCAAAAGCAAGTTGTCAGAGGCTGGGGTAGAGCGTAAGCCGGTTCCGAATCGACAATAAAACAAGATTAATCGAAAAATACCCATTCAACGCATAGTTAAAGCACCTCTGTTTAAAAAGTGGGATAGGCAGGTGGAAAAACAGATCGATAGACAGTTGAAAACTTGCACCACGGAGGAGCAGAACTACACTAATGGTATTGCCTGTAAATAAAATAAAGTGTCAGTTCAAAGAAAGTTAATAATACATTCAGATTCATTATCACTCAAACCAACATTAAAAAAAAAAATAATTTGCTATTCACGTTAATGGAGATCATTCAAGGATAATAATATGTTTATTTACCAACCTTTGTTTCTAATAGTAGCTGTTTTGCAGTCCTGTTTCTTTCAATTCTTTGAAACGAAAATCTACTTTTGAAACTGATACAAGATACTCTACACTAAATAGCAATATCAAAATTGGCCTTATAAATATAACAGTAAAGCGGTCTACTTATTGAATTATAATGTTTGCATGAGTGAAAAATTCCTTAAGCCTCCACCCCCCCCCCCCGCCGCAAAAAAGAGCCACCGTGACTACTAATCTAATAATATTAATTTTAACAAAAAAGGTAGTTCCAGTTTTAAGTGGTTCTTATTTGCCTCCATGTCGTAGTGCCATGACAACGCAACTAATTAAACATGGTTTAAAGACAGTTCACAGGCAACTTTAATTCTTTCAGAACTCAAGCATCTTAAGCAATGCAGTATCACGCTCTCGTTCTAGTTCAGTCCTGTAGTCTGAAGCGATGACCATAGAAATATTTAATATAACAAATTTTCCCAACCTCTGTTTTTGTACTTGTAAATAACTTTTCCTATGTAATGAAATGACCAACTTTTTGTACCACACAGCCTTATCCACGGACAAAGCAAGAAGACACAGATCCCATTCACAGTACGTCATAGCATCACTCAAATTGGTATGAATAATGAATCAGATGAAACCTAACAAAAAGAGCCCCGCCCCCCCCCCCCCCCAAAAAAAAAGAATAAAAAAACTACAAATAAAAAAACCCCAAACAAAACAAAAACCAAAATATTTATATCTATATATATATATATATATATATATATATATATATATATATATATATATATATATATATATATATATAAAAAATTAAAATACTCCCCAGATTTTATCGAATAGCGGGCTACACGCAACCAACTGTATGTTACCTCTTTCTGACGGAAATCAGTCACGTTGTGCATATTATTGCGATCCTGAATTACCATAATTGGGTTTGAGCATAGAAATTTGACGGTATCTCAAAAGAGGAAGATAGATTAGTTCTCGAAATTAGCTAAATTCAATGATGAACTCACTCAAAAAACAAAATTATATTATATATATGCATTGGACTGTATAAAGAATCTACCAAAAACTGACACTGAGCGACATACCCACCTTCTTTCTAAGACGTTTTGATCCCCCAACATTTTAAATTAATTTGTTGCAAAACGTTTTTTATTTCTTTTAGTTGCGGGTCCACCGCAGTGTGCTGCAACAATTATGCAGACACAGAATGTGACAAGCTTATTCGGTTTTACGACCGGTTTAATAGAGGTCACCCCTAATGCATTAAAAAAAACAACTGTCTTTTCTGTCCTTTTTCTGTCTTTCGTTACTTTTCTTTTTCTGGTTGCTTGGGATTAT